CAAACAAAGCCAGGGTTGGCTTGGCACAGGTTACATAGCATTTTATAGTCTCCCCGTTTCCTGCGCTTTGCAAGTCCCACCTGCTGCCCGCCCCTGCCCGCCTTTGCCCATCCTTGGCTCGCCCCTCGCCCTCAGCTCTTCCCACCCCAGGCTGATGGCAGGTTCAGCCAGGGTCCTTTGTTCTCGGCTGTCTTGCTTGTGTGGCAGGTCCCGTGAGGCTGACTCACGATTGCGTTTGATGGGCGGCTGAGCACAGCTTGAGCTGCAGAGCTCTTTGCTGCTGTTGTCGGCGGCTGGGGAAGTCCCGCTTGTTACAAGGCAATTGAATCCTGCTGCGGGGTGATTGCCGCCACCTGTCGGCAGTTTACTTGCGGTTAGCGCTTCCTCTTTCGATTGCCTGCACCTGAGGCAAGGAAGCTGACCAGGCGCACTTGAACCTAGCTGGGTGAAATGGCGGCTAGCTTGAATGGTGTGTGCTGAGCCAGGCTGAACCTGACAAGGTTGACCTCTTTCTTAACTTTTCAGAAGTGGGTTAAAACGCTGTTTTCCTGAACCTTTGAAGAGGTTCAGTTTTTAGCTGTGGGATTTAATGCCTTATTGTGTATTGTTTTATTGATTGTGGATTTGGAGTATGGAAATGTGAGCCACCCAGAGGTTTCTGACTGGGGTGATGATGCCTAGAAGGAATAGACGTATCCATTTTTTGCAAATAAATAGCTGAACAACAAACCTTACATAGTCCCAATGCAAGTTTGCCTTCTAGGTGAAATGTTATTTCTACTCAAGGTATTTTATTCTAGACTCTGTCATGGCAGATGGTAGTGGTTAATTGGTTAATCTCAAAAACATTAAACCAGTCAGACCTGATGAACGCTTTCATGAGAAGCCTCCAGGATATCCCTGGATTGCTAGAGTGGGAAATCCTGGAAGAGGGCAATGGCTAATCACTTCCATCAGTCTATGAAGTTGTCAGGAGCTTTTCTCTTGTCATTTTATCTTCTGTACATCTCCTCATGGATATGGTATCTGCTGTCTAATGCCAACTGGCAACTCCTGTCTGTTCCCAAGTTTTCTCTTGCATCTTGAAATGGCTTGGGTTGGGGGCAGAGGACCAAGGACAGCAGCTGTTTCTTAAGCCATCCACCATTTTCCTGAATGTTAACAACCACTGCAAGTGGATTTCCCACCCCTGAGGAAAAACATTTTCCTTTTTTTTTCCTTTAAAAGCTTCAGATGGGATGCCAAGCGTTTCAAACCAGACTTCTCCATCAAACCAACAGAGGGTTACATTTCTCCAGGAACAAATGTCTCTTTTGAAGTGACCTTCCACCCTTGTGAACAGAGTCAGGACATCTGCTATGAGAACCTACCCTGCTACATCCAAGGCGGAGAACCTGTGAGGCTCACCCTGAGTGGATTCTGTGTGGGCGTCCCACTTGTCAAAGAGGTGACTAGTTGGGCAGAAATGACCTAAGTGGCAGGTTGAGCTGGGAACACATGGACAAGAGCAAGAATATTCAGAATCCAGTCTAAGGTGTAAATGGACAACTCCAGGGGCCCAAATATAAAGTGCAGAGTAAGCCAAGTTATAGGAACCTTGGCTAAAGGAGCCATCAAAAAGTCCTGGGAAATATGAGTGCAGAGAGAAGTTGTAACAGAGATGGTTTCCATCAATCTACTCAGTCTCTGATGCAGTTTCTTACATTTCAAGTGGTCAACTAGCATTCAGTAGCACATCTGCATAATTCTAGTCTTTGATATAGCAGGGCGCCACTGTCATGGAGTCATGAAGTTCCAGACTTAGAGATTGCAGTTGCAGTCTCCATAGATGTGGAAGGGGCTGAATCCTTTTCAAACTTTGTGCTGTGAGGCACGGGAAGGTTTCAGGGCTCATCCTGAAAGAAGAGGTGGTCATGACAAGAAAGGGAATGTGGGGGGCCTGTTTGCTAAGAGGGTAGATCATGTAGATATGTGCTCCTTTCATCAGTGTTGCAAACTGAGGAACATTTTTGGTATATAATAATCCTGTAAAAACTCTCCAAGACAGTGCATTGAAATAATATGAAAATGAGCTGATGTACCTAGTGTGCTGCTCACTAGACCCTAGGGCCCCTACAACATGGCATCTACAAGCCACAGATGCCTTTCTTTGCTCCCTCAATGATCAATTTTTAACTTTCTTAAGATGTGCCGAAAAGTAAAGAACAAGACTCAAGCATAAACTGGATTTCCAGCATTGCATCTTGGGCCTCGTAGACCCCAAAGGCATGTGTAGACAATAGAAATGGCAGGGAGTGGGTGTGGGTCCTCTTGCTTAGAAAAAGGACACAGCTAAGCTAAAGTAATTGAGAGCATCTGCAGAAATAGAAGGGGTGGTTGGAAGTATCCTCCCCAGTTTAACATCTGCCTTTTGAGGAAGACCAGGTCAGAAACAGACACTGCATAAACTATTGGAACTCAATTGTTGTAGGGTATAAAAATCTTGAAAACCTGACAGAAATTCTTCCTATCCGCTGTTATACCAAAGAGAATCAAGGTTTGACAAGCTTGAGTTTTTTCCTCATCCCCTGTTGTTTATTTGGGTTAATGTGATATTTATACAACAGTTGTTGAATTCCTTCTTCAAGGCCACCTCTGTACTCTTCTGCACTTACCTTAGTGTACGTTGGTTTTTGTCTTCATTGGCAGCCATTTTATGTTGACTGCCAATAACATGCTGTCAGCATTGTACTCACTAGAAATACATTTTGGCACAAGTGTTCCTACTCTGAACCTACATGATGATTTTCAGAAAGCCCAAATGTTAAATGAAAGGATAGGTATGTGTGAGAATGTAACTGGTCAACTGCCAGAAGCCCCTGTAGATAATGGTAGTTCACAAATCTAATAAGTGGACAAAGAAATGCCTTGCCCAGATGAAGGTATTCAGATACCTCAAGCAATAAAACGGCATTGTTTGTGAAAGGGGGAGTCTTTTGTGTCCTTGGGAGGCGCTAGTGCAGAGACTGAAGGGCAGTGGGCTCTCTGGGTCACTTGGGCTTGGTTCCTTTTTTCTTGCTACCTTCAGTGGGAAGAGCCCTCTCCGTCCGCCTCTTATCTCAGGCCAGTTATTTGGCTGGTGAAATTTGCAGGGAAGGAAAGAAAGTCTGTATTACTTAGCAAACCATCCCCCAACAGTGGAGTGAATGAACAACAGGGATTCTCCTTTGTAGGTAAAATTCAGAAGGATTTTCAAGAGCATTTGCCTTTTAGTAAAAATTGTTGATCCAAAAAGGTGTTACTAGACTCCTCCTGATTTTTGACTACCATAAACTAACATGGCTCTTCTACATTCTCTTTCAGGTAGTAAATTTTGTATGCCAGGTGCGTGGAAAGCACACACAGACCATCATGCTATCTAACCGGACCAACCAACCATGGACGCTGCAGCCCATTATTGAGGGAGAGCACTGGAAAGGGGCAGAGTTCATCAGGGTGGAAGCCCACCAGCAGAACAAGCCCTATGAAATCACATACAGACCTCTTGCTATGAACACAGAAAACAAGAAAGACCAGGTATTCCAGAAACAAACAGAAGGGGAAAGAGGAGGGACTTTTGGGACTCAGGTTGCTGGGGTGGATGAGGGTTTCTGTACACAAAGAGGGATCCTTGCACTTCTTTGTACATTTAGTTGTCATTTCATTAGATCCATGCTGTCTATGAAAGCTTGCAGCCTGACCAGCTGTGTTTCTTTTGCGCATGCTCACCATCTAAGCTAATTCTTGTCCTGTGCAGAAACTAATTCTGTGGTTGCTGCTGCTGCTGCTGCTACTACTACTGATGTTTCCTGTTTACTAGCAGCTTTCTACAGCCCCTTTGTTTTTGTTGTGGTTTTTCAGTGCTGTTCAGGATAGCTTGGATAGAAAGTTTATACCTCTTTCAAGTCGAGGGATGAGCTGAGAATTAATATGAAAAAAGGGGGAGGTGTGGTGAAGGTGAAGAGGCTGAGCCCAGGACAGTGAACTTCCATGGTTGGCCCCACAAACAGTCCTTTGGAGAAAAAGGGTTCCTGGCCCTTCTTGGGGAATGTAAGTTGTCCCAGTCTCCCAGACTCTCAATAGTGTGAGGCCCGCAGAGAGTTGTCCAGTAGACTACTTTTTGGATGTCGCAGTGCTCTGGTTTAGCCTTGGCTACCTGGACAGGTGATAGTGTTTAAAGCAGTGGATCTGAACAGGCTGGTTGTGAGCATGACTGCCCATGGTTTTCTGCTATGTGGCCCTAAGTCCATCAGATTTATTCTAGAAAAGCTTAATTCTTAAGATGAGTCAACAGTTATAGAAGCAGCTACATCAGAGCTGCCCATTACAGGAGAATAATGCTTGTTTTAGCTAGTTTAACTCTCTAGAATTCCTGCAAGTGGGTTGAGAGACAGATTGTTCTCATAAAACTGTTCCAAGTAGCCTCAGTCATGGAAGAATGTGACCATATCAAATGGAGGTAAGTAGGAACAGTGAAGAAACATTGCCTAAGTGTGTAACTCTCCTCCTTTCCCCTAGGGATCTATCTTTTTCCCACTCCCAGATGGAACAGGACTGCTTTATCTCCTGCAAGGCACTGCAGAGCCTCCCAAGTCCGCTGGGAATATTATGAGGGAAGTTCCATGCAAAACATCCTACGTAGAACTGTTTCCCATCACCAACTGGTTGAACAAGCTGCAACGGTAAATGGGAGAAAAAGGCTGGGTGGGGCTGATAACCTTATCCCACTCTCAGGTCTTCATGCAGCACATGAAGACCTGAGAGTGGGAGGAAGAACCTACAATCAACCAGGAGCCCATAGGTTTCAGTGTATATTACAATTTGTACCCCCAATTTTCCTTTGGTAATGAGGCAGCCATTGTCTTCTTCAGCCCTTGATCCTTCACAAACGAGACAAACAGATCCTAGTGTTGCCTTACAGAATTTGAAAGCAGAGGTGAAATTCTTGTGATGTAACCTTCCTTCCAAACAAATATTAGCAATGAGAGCTCCAAGGGACTTGCTTTTTGGATTAACTGTTTGCAGTCCAGATTGCCAGACAACTAAACTCCCCATGAACAGGGTCTCCAAGTTCTGACACAGCCAGGCAATCACACAGACTGACACCCACTTTGGTGACAATGAAGTTCTACCGGGCCAATTCCTGAGAGCCCTAAAACCAGCTTCTCTCATCTTGCCCTGTTCTTGGGGGCTTCTGTGCCTCTTTACCTCTTCCTTTTCCAGAGGAAATACGTTGAGAATAGTGGAGCGCTGCTAGAGTCCTGAAAGGTCTTCATTGTGATTTAATATGAACATTATTGTTATTATTAGATTTCATACAGCCACCCACTCCACATGAAATTGCTGAGAAAGATTTTCTGAAATTTAGGTGTTCTGGTTCACCAATAGGTCTTTTACTTCCTTTCTATTGAAATCCAGGCCAATTTCAAGTAACCAGATAACGGACTGGATGAGGGTGACAATTTGAGCCTTAATCTAGACATTTAAGTAGTACAAATAGTCCTCAGTTATGACGGTATTTGGGACCAGGAACTCCATCACTAAGTGATGCAGTTGTAAAGCATGACATCATGTTGTGAGGAAAATACATCTTTGGGTGAAGGAAGTAAGTGAGGCAAGAGGCCTCAGATGAATGGGATCACCTTAATAAAATTGAAATATAAAGGAACGTGCAGCACCCCTGAAGCTGGTAGGAACTAGGCTGGTTGTATCTGGAGGATAAGTCACGGCAACTGGACTTCTTTTCTTTTGGTTTGATATGTTTCGCTGCTTGTCCAAGCAGCTTCTTCAGTCTAGAAAGTTGGTTAGGGGGGACCCCATAAATGTCTTCCAGGGTGGCTGTGTTTCTCAAAATCATGATGGGCTCGTTGAAAGACAATAGGAGATGTGATTAGTAGAGTCTTTGGGATGTGGATGTCTTGCTCCTAATCCCTCACTCATCCCCAAGTGGGTTGTTAAGTGCTCCCTCCTGGTGAACTTGTGAAGTGGTCTTAATCTTCCTGGGGACTGATGAAAGAGCAGCCTGAAAAATGGGAGACAATTTGTATCTGAGGCCTCCACCTCTATTGAAGGAAGGATTTTCCACTTCAGCATAAATGGATTCCTTCACTCCTCTCTCAAACCACATAACTTCTCTGTCCAAAATGTGAACATTGTTATTAACAGGGCAGAAACCATCCCCACCTCCATAGATGCCAAAAAGAAAGAAAACAGACACCTGATGACAGCTCTTAAGGCCTGTGGC